CATGCATGCACCAAAGGAATTGGTGTGGAAGCATCAACCACGGTTAGTTAATTATTTGCTCGTTTTCATGATGGTATCTATGAAGGGCAAAGTGAGAATAAGATACTGAAACTACATTGAAAGTGCTGGCAGAAAATACTCCCTCTGTAAAGAAATATAAAAGCTTTTAGATCACTATTTTAGTGATATAAATGCTCTTATATTTCTTTATGGAGGGAGTACCATCTTTATTTTACATTATAAGGCAGATCACACAACGAAATATGTAGCATCATTGCTTCTGATAGTACGAGGGCTCGAGCTCAAATGATCTCGCATAAACATTCGTGGAAGGCGTGCCAAACTTTGACAAATCAGCGGTCCAAAATGCTTTCGAAAGTACAATAGCATTTTCGGAGCATTGATTTTCTTCTTTTTTTTGTCACGCCTTCCGCGAATGTGATCTCATGATGAAAATTTGCAAGCACTTAGAACATTTGTCAAATTTTACCAAAAAAATTAAAATATTTGAACTTTTTTATTTATTTTACTGTTCATCTGAGCTCATTTGAGCTCGAGCTCAGATACTCCGCGTCCATGTGGAAGGCATATACTAGAGTAGTGTCAGCCTTCTCTTAGGAGAGGCATGTAGGGTGACTTGGACTTGGAAGAGAAACATAGGAAAAAAGACGTTTTCTTTCCTTACCTAAGAGATGATCTTCTCAAAATAAAATGAAATTAAAAAAATCCCCTTTAAACATGGTACCATCTTTTATCACACTATCTTTATTATTAAAGGCGAGTTTGTTGGTTTTGCTTCCACCTCTTCAACCCGCCCATCGATATATGCTCCTTCCTGCCGATTTTTTACCACACCACATGATAACCCCATTATTATTTTTCCAAACCAACCCCACCTACTCGTTTTCGGGAAAGAAGTCATTTGCAAAGCAATCAACAGAAATCAAGTAAATCACCAATAGCAAGAAATCCCTTACAAGCAGATAACAAAATCAACTCACGTAGTTGTACGCATCAGATATTAATGGACCGATATGAGGAATGTTTCCTGGGAGCATTTTTCCTAGCAAACGCCTAGCTTGCCATGCCAAATCAACTAAAGTTGCCATGTCAATTTTGTAAGAATGACCATGTAAAGAGGCGAAAACTGTCATGTAGCATGTTTAAACCAGAAAAATCGCCACGTTTCGCACAGCAATTGTCGTTTGTCCGATCGTGGTCAGACGGCTTTGGGGCTCCATGGAAATTCCCTCCCAGGGAACATACCCAAGTTACCTTTTCCCTTGCAAATAGGGCATAACTTTGCCTAGGCAAAATTTTGAGAATGGTCCCTTTAGTCCCATGTCTTCCGGCTACTTTATCCTCAACTTTGATTTTAGGTTTCTGTAAAATATATACACAAACCATTATGTTGAGGGTGTCCCTTTAGATCCATTTTACATCGATAACACGCACTCTTCCACCTATTGGTAATTTCAAAGAAGTTTCTTTTGAACGGGAAATCATAAGGCCAAATATGGCATGTAATAATCCAGCTTACACGATATACAATGATTCATTTGCTATCTAAGGCGTTAATTTGCTTAATAAAGTATCACCAGTTTCTACTCAGGGTCCCAACCTAACAACTCCATTTTTGTCCAGATTTTGGAGTAAATGTTCTTCTAGATGTGGTATATCTTTAGTGATTTTTTCAGCGGAGCCCTGGCTTGTCGTATCCTTCTGAATTTCATATTTCCGGATGTGAAAAAAGGTATAAACATCCTCATATACCAAACATCGCTAATTAGTATTGCGTTTTTAAAATTGTAACCTTCCCATGACATATAACTAAGGTACCAATACATTTTTTTTCTAAAG